TCAATTGTTAGCGTTTAGGTTAATGGTTTATCCTAATTCATAACGTTAGCTATGATGATAAATAAAATAATTTATAACTTTCATAAATTAAAATAATTTTAGCCAGTGTGTGTCGTAGGCTTACACTCACCCACCCTTAATAGGTATTGCAATTGCAATACCTGGACATAGGGATCGGCGCCACTGAATTCACCTGTTTTATCTTCAATTGAATTTCAATAATTTATGTAAAATCACATACTCACATCATACTTTTTATATGATAATCTATCAATAAGAAATATCGTAAAGATTATTTACATTAAAAAAAAAAACACGGGGTGTCACGAGTAGTTTAATTCGTAGCCCCTATAATTGGCTGTTTATAACAGATAGGTATTAATCCAATTTCAATGAAATAATAATTTCGCTTTCRTTTATTTTTTTATTATTTCTTGGGCTATCGCGTGTCAGGTTGACGTTGTTTGTTTTCGGACGATGGTAATAATTGTTATTATATTTTTCATAAATATTACCTTTTCAATCAAATGGAAAGATACAAAAAATGTATCGATGTACATTGATGTACATTAATGACAACTCATTTCGAAGATATGGTTATATTAAACAAGTATTAGTTAAATCTAAAATGGTATACTTATAAAATTTAAACGYAATGCTATTATTTATTATAATGATAACAATATAAATTAAACAGGTGTTGATCATACGGAGATCAACAATGGTTTCATATTATTCATTTAAAATAAAAAACTTGTAATGGTTGAAACATATTTTCTTTTATTTATTTATTGTAACTGTTGTAAATAATATAGTTACATTTTGAAGAATATATTAGAATATYAGATCAACATTAAAAAAAATGTATTTAAGGACATTCATATTGAATTCTATCTTATAAATATCTGATAAAAGTGATTATGATTAACATAACTCTATTGATATCATTTCAAATTGTCTGATAGAATGATATTTTATTTCACAATCTAAATCACCAGTGCCTTCAAAACAAAACTGTAGAAGAGGCTGTTAAGTTTGTGCGGATAAAATAAAGTATTTAAGAGGCAGAAAACAACTTATTACACTATTATGTGTTAATCAATGCGTCGAAAAATATCATTCTGCAAATAATATTATTAGCTGTAAATGAGCATTATTATTTTTTTAAATATAATGTGTAATAAGCATAACGATTTTATTTTTAAGAATTT